GAGCTCCTCCGCCAGCTCCCCCAGCACTCTCGGGTGGATCCTATCCGGCCCCATAGACTTGTGAGCATCCAGGTGGTGTAGCAGGTCATTGACTGCTAATATATAAGTGATAATATATTTGCAAGAGTTTTGGAAATTAAAACATTCTTTTTAGTTAGATACATCATACTGCCTCTTGGGTACAACATTTTAGCATGGATCCTTAATGTTCCTTCTTATACATTTGTGTTTTCTACTTCAGCTTTTGGGGGAAAATATTTTTTTATTTCATAGGTTTTTTTGATTTGCATTGGTTTGAAATGCCACGTTTATATGATATCATGATTTGCTAAGGAATTGTGTGTGTGTGTGTGGCATGAGATCTGTCAGATTTCGATGACTTCATTTGTTTGGGTGATTTCTGTAATACCCTTTGCAAACTAATTCTAGGGTTTTTCACTGGGTAGACCTGTGCGTGATTTATACAGTATTACAATTCAACCAAATGATAATGGCTTTTAAAATGTTATGTGCTGTAGTTGCCAAGTCACACACTATGTTGTCAGTGTTCTTAGAAAGACACTATCCCATTTGCCTGTGAAATTAATGCAGAAAAGCTGTATTGTGTGTGTGTGGTGGAATGTTTCTAAACAATGAAGAACTTCATATCCAGTTTTACATAATCTAGATGCTGCTGTAAACTGTACCAATTCTTGGCTACTGTTCTTCTTTCACAAATTAGCATTAATACTGAAGACTTCAGAAGCCATCAGTCATGCACACATATGCAGAAAGTTTACTTTTAGTTTAAAATTATTTAAATGATTCCCCTCTGGATTTCCTAGACGGGGAAAAAGTGAGTAATATTTTTTTTTATTGCTCTGGTCAACTATCATAGTCTGCATCCTGAGACAAACTAGAAGACAAAAGAATTGTGATTATTTTTACCTTTTCAGCACTTGAGGAATAATTTATTAAGGTAGAGAGCAGCAACTTTGATTTTTGTAGCTAAAAACTGTTAACTAGAAACTATACCTTGTTTATGTGTACTACAGGTTCTGTGCATTATGTGAGTGAGAAAGGAAAAACAAGGCATGTATTGTCCACAGACAGTCTGGTCCAAAAGCTTCTGTTCATGGAGGAAAGAGATGTTTTAGTTGTAATAACAGAGAACCTGCAGTTGTCCTTGCATGCAATTACTCTTGAGGGAGAGGCAGAAGAGCTCATGAAGGTAAGAGTCAGACTACAGGGTAAAGTTGCGATGTTTAATCTTTATAAGAAGTTGTTAGGGTTTTTTTGATTGTCACTTTTTTGCTTACAAATGAATCAACTCTCATTTTTGTTTCTCAGATAATACCTTGATAAGCAAATATATGCTCATTTAGAAGTGGAACAGTGATGTGTTATTGAACTTGGAAAGATGGTTTTCATCTTGCCTTCCTGTTTTTTCTTAGTTTCTTTCATTTTGACCCTATGTTAATCCTTTTACACTTCATTTACCTTGTCTTAGTGAATTAGAGAAGAATTGAAAATTCCAGTATAATCAAATATTTGTTAAAATGTCTTGTGGATAAATAGTTAATAATCCGTGTCCTCGTTTTTTTTTTATCATCAGTCGCTCAGAGCTGTCTTGTCTTTCAGATTAGTAGGAGCAGTACCTCCTCTTGGTGATATTTTCTTTGTCTGCAAATCTGAAAGATGGTTTAGTTCTCACATTGTGAAAGTAATATTCACAGCTGCAAAGGCTAGGAAGCTTTTAAAAAACAACAACTCACAAGTCACAGAATCACAAATAATAACGTAGTGACTCAAAAATTACTGTGTAGGGACAAAAAACAAACTGACCTCATCCAAGACTTATAATGAACTTGGCTCAAATAAAATACTGCTTGGGGGGATGGAACCCAAACCTTCACCTTCCTAAGATTCGGGCCCCCCCCCAATCAAAAAAGACTGGGCACTTGTGTATTACAGGAGTGTCCACTTCTTATTAATCATTACTTATTTTTGACTAGGAGTAAGATTTGGTGTTTCACATTTTAAAGCAATCTTTATCAAGTTCTAAGAGAAGATCTAGTACAAGAGAAAAAACTGTTCCTTACCTACTTAATTAACCCACCACGAGGTTTCTTTTATTGAATTTATACATCATATACTTGATGCATTTAGCAGTGATCACTGCCTGAGAGAAACTATTGGTCTATCTGAACTGACAGACAGGTCTAGTTATTCTTATATTTTAACTTTTTAGCCAAACTAGGCAATTCAGATGCTTACTGTCTTTCAGTGTGTTCCTCCTACCTACTGTAAAGTTATTTATTTACTTATGGTTAACAGGTGAAGTTGAGTGGGAAGATAGGTCATTCTGCAGACATCATTTTAATAGACCATAGCCTTGTTGTTACAGCACTAGGCGAGACGGTCATCAGGTAAGAATCCTGTTTTAAAGCTGTTCTGGCTGCCCGTGAGAAGTGCCAGCTAAAAGGTTTATGGTTTGCAATGCACTGAATATTTTACTGAACTGGTGGGTTTTGGTTTTTTGGGGTTTTTTTTACCAATAATGAAAAAACTCCCAATATTTTCTAATTTTGTTTCTCAAAATAAATAGATAAATGAAATGAAAAATCTGTTTCCTTGAGGACAAAAAATAATTCTGTATCTCTTTCTTTCTCTCTAGTTATTTTATTTTGTCAAGCAGTACTACCCAAATCTGTTCCTTTCTTGAGTGCTGTTATTGATTTCTTCTGAAAATATATCCATTTGGGTTTTTTGCATGAAAAAGATAGCCACTTCGCTGTTCTGTCCATTGCTATTGTCTGATTCTTAGGATAGTCATAGCATCAGCAACAGGAAAAAAAGTGCTTGCTTTTCAGGATGTTTCTCTGTTACTGTAATATAAGACAAGTATTTGGGTTACTTCTATCCCTAATTCTTTAAACTAAGTATGTTACTTTGCCATGCTGCTATGTTACCATGTTCTGTATTTTTTATCTTTTTGCATCTTTTTAAAAAAAGTGTTAAATCTTTTTTTCTTGTCTCTACTATGACTTGTTCTACCTGTTTCCTCTACTCTTTTTTTGCGGGTGGGGGGGTTCCATTAACATCAGTAGTTCACTTTCTTGAGCCTCTCTCTGCTACTATCAGACAAAATCATCTGTTAATTTTGTGAGAATGTGATAAAGACCAAGTATCAAGAAGGAATATGTTTGACAATGTTTAGTTCTAGAAAATACATCTAGAATCCAAAGGACTACTGGTTAACCAAGGAATATTCTTAAAATAGAGGAGGAAGCCTAAGTAGGGAGGAAGAAAATTGCAACTAGACCTCACTTCTTTTCTTTTCTTTTTTTTCTTAAAGCTGGGTTTGCTTCTGACTCCTTTCTTCATAGGAGAATATCACAAAACATGCTGTAGATTAAAAAGTCAAAGGAAAAGGAAGGAGATTGCTAAGAAATTCACATTCCAGAGGCAGCTGCTGGCAATTTAATTTTAAAAATTGAATGATCTGGGCATTATGGAAATAGCAAATTAATGCCATGTACAGCATCCTATTGACTGTGTTTAGCAAGACACCTGGAAGGAAAAGCATTGTTAACACTCTTGTTTTGTGTACCTTAGATTCTGGGATTTGGACCGAGATGAGAACTATGTGCTCTCCCCAGATGTGCAATTTGGCTTTGAGGGAGGAGAATGTATTAACTGTGTTTCTTACTGCAGTGCTAAAGGTGAGAAATAACATGGCAGCTGTGATCTCTGGATCCTAAACCTTGTCAAACCTCAGCCTTCAGTGCCCTGTAGTCATTTCACTATATTTGTCTTGTTACTGAGGGTTTCAGTAACAGCATGTGATGTAGAAGCCTTTTAGTTCAGATCAGGAGTGTGCTTTTGAAGGTACAATGAGATCATTCAATAGTCACCACGCTTTGTCTCAGTGTGGAGTTGTCTCCCGGCACACAAGCTGGATTCCCTTTGAGGACGCTGCACTGGTACAATATTCCTGGAGTATACCTAATGCACTCCAACATGTTACAGGCATTCAGTCTACAAGCCCACACTAGAGCTAACGCGAAGTAGAACTTGCCAAACATGTATAGCGTGGACATCAGGTCCTTAAAACTGATGTTTTCTACAGAGCTACTCCTGTGCATCACCTTGTTTGCCAGTGGAGGCATAGCTAGTGTCTGCTAGTATGGTTTTCAGTGGTGACTTGCCCATGGTGACTACAAAACCAGCTATTCAAAAATATATGGTTAAAATGAAATCATTGTCTGATACATTTAAAAGATAACTTCATCTGGTAGCTTAGAAAATGGGCCTTACCATGTGAAACTTCTCCCATTGTTTCTTCAGAAAGTTTCTTCAGTTCAGGACTAGGATGCTGGTTTGCAGGAAGGCAAAGAAATGGATGCTACTAGAAGAAGGCTTCTCAGTACCTTAGAACCAGAGCTAGGCTGCCTGCTACTTTGTATAATGTGGATTTGTTTTTCTGAAGTTTAAGATATGAAATGCCTAAAAGGTTTGTGAATGGCAGGTCTCTTAGCAGCTGGTACTAACAAAGGGAGAATAGCTATGTGGAGGAAAGCAGCAGGATCCGATCAGAGCATACGGGCTTTGGAGGGCAAGGAGAAGTGGAAGCTCCAGGCACCTACGGAACTTGAAGGAAATGTCATTCAGATAAAGGTAAGACAGGAAGGAGTCATCTTGCATGTTAGTAGGACTTCACAAACATTAGATGAATAGATCATCTTTGTGAAACAGATGAATATGATCGCTATCATACAGATATATGCACCAGTAGAGGCTGGTCCTCCTTCAGAAGAAGAAGGAAAAACCGTCAGGATCAAGTAACTTTTAAAATTGAAATGGGCAGAAATATTACCTGTTTGTAGCTATTCTGTTACAGGCAGGGTTGAAATGCTCAGCAAGATAACACACTGAAATGCAAATACATCTCTCTGTCTGGGAGAACTAGCAGTCATGGCATCCTTAAATCCAAACATCTCTCCATTATATGTCTCATTGACAAACCCTTTGGATTCAGCACCCTGAAATTATTTTCTGGAAAAGATAGATTGTCAGCAATGTCAAATTTACATAAATTTATTAAAATAGCAAGCAAGAAAATCTGACTAAATGCATGATTTTATTTGTAGATAATTTTCTACTTTTTAGTCACTTTCTCAATGTAAAGTTTGCTCGTACTAGTAGTTGCAAAAATAAAAAGATGTATTTACAACCAAATATTCTTTGGTGAGATGTGCCATCTAGAAGGGAATGCTGTATTTTTACACACAAAATGATGTTTTCAGCTGCTTTTTTGTCAGAAAATGTTTCTTGTTTGCTAGATGATATCTTCATGTGTGACAGTGTCAGACTAGATGTGGATGACAAGTTTTCTCTTACAGATTTGCAAAACTTTTTTTTGCTTTAAAACATTTCTACTGCTATTTACAGTATTTTTAATGCTGAAGGTTATGACAATACATAGCAGCGTTATATTTATTTTTTAACCCATTGTCTGTTAAGTGTTAGGGTGCAGCATTTTTATTTATTTGAAATAATTTCATTTGTCACAGTAAGCTTAATGTAATTCTATACTTATTAGCATTTTGATATATGCAAAAGAGAAATGCTGAGTGTTACAATTGTAAATTTAAATTTTAAAAGTTTTACATTAACAGTTAGTTAGCTTTTTTGACCACCACCATTCTACTAAAAGGCAAAGCTTGTGCTTTTAGGTTCTCCAGCATTTTTTGTTTTGTTTGTTTGTTATACCCTGTTATTAAATTTTTTCCAGTTTTTTTTTAGAGTTTCTGTTTTAATTTAGATTATTCTGTTGCTGTGCTTAATATGTGAGAACAATACCCATTATTTTTTGGAAGGAATGAAAATCAAACAAATATATCTGGTGCCTTTCAAGAGAAAGTAATTTTATGTTTTCTTTTATTCTGTTTTCACATAAGAATGGAAAGTATTTAAAAAGTAATGGCATTTGCTTGTTCTGGGTTGGCATATAGCGAGGGTCTGTATCGGAGTCCTACTTACAAAATTAAAACATAAGTACTATTAAAGTGGAGAACCCAAATCTTTTGTTAAGATGCTTCAGTAACAAAAGGTCCAGGATATAGGAAATGGTGTGTGCCATTAGTATATCATACATCTGCTAATAAGTTGAGGGAAGGGAAGAGATATAGGTGTTTATGTCAGCTTGACCATTCAGGCATTTTCCAGATAACAGGATATGGAGTGCTGTCCAGAAATAGCACCTTGTTCCCAATGTTTGTTAGCATAAACAAAAGCATTGCCAAACAATTGTCAACAATCACTGTGGTTTTATCTCATGTTATAAAGCTGTCTTTAATTATGGAAACTCTAGATTATTTTTTATTGTAATCCCTGCATTCCAAAAAATATTTTGTAAAAGATTTTAAAAATCGTTACATGTGGAATCTTTTTGGTAATTCCTATAAAAGCCTTTTCCTATATTACCTTGAAAAACTCAGGATAAAAAGCCTTATACCATGGTGAGGTCAAAAGGCAGCAATAACTTCACTTGACTCCTTGCCAACCTCATCTCTTTTCAACCTGATACAGTAGCTTCAAAAGAGAGGTGGTTGGGAAATGCACTCTAGCTCATCTGTTGTGCAGCACAGTATCTAGTTAATTGTAACTAAGCGCCATTAAAAAGAAAACCTCAAACAAACCATGCAAAATAGCTTTATTTCTTAGACCATACTGTTGAATAAAATAAAATTATTTCCAAACACAACTATTTAAATCAGTGTTGTTGGAAAGGTATAGCCACAGAAGTATCAGTATGTCAGGAAATTAATATGAAACTTCAAATAACGTTGAGGGAAGCAGAGGCCTTAGACGTGGCATATCCCTAGAGTTTATAGAGCTTATCAGTTGTGCAAGGACAGAGAAGTTCTTGGACTTCAAAGGGATTTTCTGCAGCTCCGAGAAACTTTGTAATTTATCTAGCCCATGAAAGTACGTCTGTATGAATGGTCTCTGGCAGATTGAAAAAAAACAAACCACACACAAAAAAACAACCCCAAACCCCTCTGCGTCTTCCCTGGCCCAGCCCTGAGGGAGCTCCTATGCTGAAGCTGTGCAGTGAACTATGGACTGTGCTTATCGAGGAGCATTATTGATGGTGTGTAGCAACTCAGGAGTAGCACCCTGCACCCCCACGCATAGTTACAGCTTCCAGACTGGAGTTTGGATTGCTTCTGGCTAATGTGCTATGTGCAAAGAGTTCACGTGTAGTCAGCTGGTTGCCACAATGCTTTCTGACAAGAATCATCCTTTGGTAGGAATAAAAATAAATAATGTCAGACACGCTTGTTTAACTGTGAACTTAGAAAGAAAGAATGAAAATGGGAGCATTACTTTCTCTGTAATAATACAATTCATCAGCTGCGTGTTAGAAACTGTGTCTTTGCAAGCCATCTTGGAAACAGATCTTATCTTTCTCCCATTGAATTTTGTACGGTATTTTCAGTTTCAGAATTGCTCAGTGTAGGTGCTATTTTTCAGTCTTAAAAGGGGAGGGAAAGATAACCTTCATAGAACTCATTGAAAAAGAAATAGCTGGAACATGGAGATTCTTCCAGGAGAAGGGAGTTGGAAGCCACCGTGCTGCCAGAATTGCCATTACTGAAACTTGGTGGGACGAATCCCATGACTGGAGTGTGGCTGTCAATGGCTACAGGCGAGGAAGGAGTCCTGGAGGGGTTGCCCTCCACATCAAGAAATAGATTGTGAAGAGCTGTCTCTGAAGAATAGCCACGAGCAGGTTGAAAGCTTATGGGTAAGAATTAGACTGAGGCAACAAAGGGAACCTTGTGGTGGTTGTTTACTACAGGCTGCCTGATCAAGGGGAACCTATTGACGAAGCCTTCTTACTCCAGCTACAGGAGGCATCATGCTCGCAGTCTCTCATCCTGCTGGGGGACTTCAACCACCATGACATCTGCTGGAAAAGTAGCACAGTGAGCTGTAGGCAATCCAGGAGGCTCCTGGAGAGCATTGAGGGTAACTTCTTAAGCCAGGTAATAGACAGCCCTATCAGAGGGAATGTGATACTGGACCTGATGGTCACAAAAGCAAGTGAGCTAATTGGTGACGTCAAGATTGGAGGCAGCCTGGGCTGCAGTGATCATGCACTGGTGGAGTTGGCAGTCCTGAGGGATATGGGTCAGGCAGAGAGTAAAGTCAGGACCCTGAGTTTTAGGAAAGCAAACTTCCAGTTGTTCAAGGAGTTAGTCAATAGGATCCCCTGGGAAACTGCCCTCAGGGACAAGGGAGCAGAACAGAGCTGGCAGATCTTTAAGGATGCTTTCCATAGAG